CCCTGGCCGTTTTCCTGACCACTCCCCTGATCAAGTTCCCTGACCACTCCCCTGACCACTTCCGCTTCCCTGACCTCTCCCCTGTCCACTTCCACTCCCCTGACCATAACCGCTTCCCTGACCACTCCCCTGGCCGTTTTCCTGACTATTCCCCTGACCACTCCCGCTTCCCTGACCACTCCACTGACCATGACCATGACCGCGCCCCTGACCACTTCCGCTTCCCTGACCCCTCCCCTGACCACCTCCCTGGCCACGTGGTTCACTACATGCTTGGCCACTGGTGGTTGCGCAACATTTCTGTGTGGCAGGACAGTGGCCATCATGGAAACAGCTTTCAGCACACAGTGGAATGTTCTTCGATTTGGGACATTGACCCGGCTTCACAGCGTAGACACAGATAGTCAGCTTTAGTTTGTGCATATAGACAGTATACCACTTCAATATACAGCACGAAACACTCAAAGCATGAATAGCAAGTTTTACCTACAGAGTAAATTATACTCAAAGTATTTTCCTCTTTATTTTTTTTAAATCATTGGGTTTAAAACTATCCTAAGGGATAAATTCAAACCTACTTTAGAAGAGAACAACAAAAGGCAAAATGTATTATTATTATTATTAGACAAAAACAATACAACACGGATACCTGTATATGGAGCCGTACAGTAACGTCCACATCCATTGCTGCAGCACTTCTCATTGTTGGGACAGTTAGAGTCACTCTTACAGGAACTGATACACGATCTTCTTCCAGATGATTGGGGTGGACACTGTCCTGGCTTTGCTGTTATACAGACACATGACAGAAACCATCACTGAATGCTGAACATTTCCATTCACTTAAATTAAAAAGTTTTGTAACATTTTATTGCTTAAACAAAAGGATCATTAGGGGAGGCCAGGGAGCGCGGTTCCTGCATTTGTAAATCAGGAGTTTAGCAATAAGTCTCAAACCTTAATACAAATTGTACATATTTATCTGCTTCAAATCAAAAGCGTTTTGAAACCTACTACTCATTCCTAAACTGTTAATTACTTTCAAAGACTTAGAGTCACTTATTTCTGCATTTCTTCAGGCGCTGTAATGGTCAACAGATCTTCTCACCTGTGCACGGTTCGAGTAGCATCTGTTATGCTCAAGTATCTGAACAGACACGATAAAACAGCAATCAATGAGAAATATACTCGAGCTGTCATCCTCCCGACCTACGATCTCACAACGATCTCTGCTGGAAAATGCGCTGAATTGGTGTGTCAGGAGCGAACAGCGAAGCGCACAAAACTAAAATGAATAAACGTGTTGCTGCAATATCAACCTCTGTAAAATGGGGTTTTAAAGATCCAAGGAGATCAGGGGTGTATTCCAGAGAGCACGGTTAACTTAACGTCAGCTAAACCCTGAACTTTCGGTTGATTAACCCCTAACCTTGCTTACTCGAGGTATGTGGTTCCAAAAAATGCGTCCGGGAGTAAGTTCATTCAACTCAGAGTATGTTCCTGGTTAAGTAAGCCTCAAGACATTCTCAACAGAGCGACGAATCGACGAGTCGCTATGGAAATGGACGCTAAGAAAAAGCTTGCCATGCTGTTTCTATCTTCTTCTTTTGTTCATTGGTTGTTTACATGCTTAGTGCATATCGCCACCTAATTGATGGTTGTGCAATCATTTAAATTTTTTTCCGTTTAATGTTTAATCCTTGAGAATATGAATTATATTATTTGTTTTATGTTAATTATATATTAAGTCATATCAGATATGTATTTTGATTTAGAATTTAGACATTATAGAAAATGCCGATCCATGCGTGAGATGATAATATAAAATGTAATAAATAAATATATATATAATATAATAAATTAAACATTACCTTGTCATAGTGTTTTATAATTTATACAGATAACTGTTATATATGCTAATAAAATAAATATAATAACCATATTAGAATAATATATTACTTTATTTATTACTTATATTAGCGCGTCATCATTAACATATCATACATATATATATATATATATATATATATATATATATATATATATATACAGTGGGTGGAGAGAATACACAACATAACCTGCTCCGGAGCAGGTTATCTTCAGAGAGCAAGTTACTATGGTTACTTACATACTCTGAAAGTAGCCTCCAATTTTGGAACCAAAAGCTGAGGTTATCCGCTCGCTTATCCTCAAACATACCCAGGTATGTCACATAACCTGCTTTTTGGAATACCCCCCAGGTCAACTCCAACCCTGATCAAACTCATCTGTCTGTAGTTTTCTAGTAATCTGACTGGAAGGTCTTGATTAGCTTGTTCAGGTGTGTTTGATTGGGGTTGGATGAGCTGAATGCTGCATTCACGCCATGTCATAATAATTATGGTGGCCTAATATAACGGCCAGAGATGAGAAGTAAATACTTCGTTACTGTACTTAAAGGCACAATATGTAAGATTTTTTAATAAAAATATCCAAAAACCACTTGAACAGTGTTATATATTTTGCTGACTTGTGTATTTACATTATCCCAAATGTTTCGAAGAATGTTTAAAGGGGTCATATGATGCGATTTAAATTTGTCCTTTCTCTTTGGAGTGTTACAAGCTCTTGGTGCATAAAGAAGATCTATAAAGTTGCAAAGACTAAAGTCTCAAATCCAAAGAGATATTCTTTATAAAAGTTAACAGTTAACCACGCCTACCTAAAATGGCTCGTTCTAACACGCCCCCACATATCTACCTCACTATGTGAAAATATTTGCATAACACCGCCCAAATGTTCATGCAAAGAAAGAAGGCGTAACTTTTATTCTCACTGTAGTATTGTTGCCGCTGCCGTCATGTCGTGAAGATGCTGTGTGCTTCGTTGTGAAAGCGAAACTACTTTGTTTGGTCTTCCAAACGAGGACGATATCCGCTTCATCATGCCTGGAGCTGATCTGTGCTGGTCGCTGAGGGAATACATCAACTTAGTGCTGTGGATCGCCGGATCGGCTTTCACCGTGGATGAAGCGGTGTCCAGCCCGGGGTCGTCACATGTGGTTGCCGCTCCTTTGTCGAATTCGCCAGGCGCGCTGTTCTCGCCCCCGCTGACTCTGCTCACTCTAGCCCGGCCTCAGCTCACTCTATCCCGGCCTCAGCGCACGCTAAGGCCGGGATAGAGTGAGGCTTCCACTCACTCTAGGCCGCCGTGTTTTTCGCTGTGAAAGCAAAACTACTTTGTTTGGTCTTCCAAAAGAGGACACGTTACAGCACACCTCACTTTTCAGACCGATGAGCTTTGTAAAAATCAACGCGTTTCAGAAAGGCGGGGCATAGAGGAGAAACAATAATGTACAGTATGTGGAAAATAATGTTTTTTTTACTTTAAACCGCATAAACACATTTCATTACACCAAATACACAAAATAATGTTATTTTTAGCAGCATCATATGACCCCTTTGAATCCAGAGGAATAAGCAATTTTAACTAGTGACATGGGCCGTGTCCATAGTGTCGCCTGCCAATACCGTCATAACCCCTCAATTTCTGGTTTTGTTCTGTAGAAAATATGGAAACACCAAAGAAGCTTTAATATGTTAAGCGTTTTATTAGACAGGTGACGACCTCACAGAGTAGCATTATAACAGAACTTTCAAACGTATCTAGTATGATAAAACAGTGCTGCTTTTTCCTCCCACATACGCACGACCGGAAAGAGCAGAAGGCATAATAAAAGCTCCGCTGCTTTCGAGCCGTGAGTCACGCTCGTTCAGCGGCCTCGTTTCGCTTCGACGGCTTTAAGGCTTTAAAAGGCTTTAGCCTCACCCTGCTTCTTTCTACTACGTTAATAAATCATTAGCTCATCCATGAACATAATTTCTGCCCGAGTCCCGTCGGATTGCATCGGCTGTGGGGATGAAGACGACAACTCCCATGATTCCACATTCAGTCACGGCGTCATCAAACTACGCCTTTATTTTTTGTTTTATTTTGAATACGCTCCCTCTGGCGGCGAAAAGTTGCATGTTGTGCTTTTAAGTAGATTTTTCTGGTATCAGTACTTTACTTCACTATTTATTTTTCTGACAACTTTTTACTTTCACTCCTTTAATTTTTACACAAATATCTGTACTTTCTACTTCTTACATTTTCGAACCAGGCTCGTTACTTTAGTTTTAATCTGTATTTTCACCATTCGAAAATAAATCTCTAATTAATCATGAATCGCTTAGTCTGATTGATTCACTGATTCTCGTGCGCGCCGCGCCTCCGCCAAAAGGTTTTGATCACAGAGTCTCGAGAATGGAGAAGCAGAGAGGCAAAACTACTGATCTGTTCAGGACTTCAAGTGCAGGCAGTTTCATCTGTAAACATGCTACTGTAATTTTGTTTTTGCTTACTTAGTTAAGCTGGGCCTGCATTTCGGTGCGGGTATTGCGCATTATTCTGCACATTCCTGCAGGTTTCGTGTTTATAATGTGGGAAATTCTGGCAAATATTTTTGCACTATAGCATGTAGGTTGAATCCAAACAGATTATTAGAGCAGTTAAGTCATTTTAAATCGTTCTGTGAGATGTAATTTCACAAAGAGTGTGAGTGATTCAGCAGTAAATGCACAAATTACCTCACATGCATAGTACCCCCCCCCCCCCTTAACTGTATGCTAAAGGACATCATTATTATCTGTTGTAAAGTTTCAGTAGTCATTTTGCTGACAACTATTCACATTGTTTTATAATAGGTTTAGAGGGCGCTAGGGCAGATAACCCTTATGAAAATTAGCCATGGTTATAAAACCATGGTTACTAAGTTAACAAATTATGTTTTCCTACACTAACTATAGTTTAACCATGCAATGTTTTTGTAAAACCGTGGTTATACAAATGGCAATCAATCCACAAAAAATATGGTTACTATACTTTTACTATAATAAAGTCATAGTTAATTTTCATAAGGGAAAAATATGACTCATGATAATGCAACATGTTCAATACTAGTATTTTTCCATAATAAATTGTCATGGTGTAGTTATTGTTGTACTAATTTTGACATTTAGGCAATTTAGAAAATATAGTTATTTTGCACAGGCCCAGCCTAATTATTTTAACTTTTTTTATGTGATGGCCACACAAAAAAATAGTGTTGTCCATTGTTTCAGAATTGGTTGTGGGTGTATGGGATGGCCTGGATGAGTGAAATTTTGTCCCAGTCCGACCCTGTTCTACATGGTGGTTGTTCAGCCTGGATACATTTATTAGCTAACAAAACTTGAAATGTAAGTTATTTTGTATTAAAGGGTTAGTTCACCCAAAAATGAAAATTAGCCCATGAATTACTCACCCTCAAGACATCCTATGTGTATATGACTTTCTTCTTTCAGATGAATCCAGTTGGAGTTATATTAAAAATTGTCTTTGTTCTTCCAAGCGGTTTAATGGCAGTCAGCAGGTGTTGCAGTTCATCAGTGCAAAAGAAGTGAAATAAAGCACATCATCCATAATGAAAAGGGCCTCACACGGCTGTGGGGGGTGAACAAAGGCCTCCTGTAGCGAATCAATGTGTTTTTGTAAGAAAAATAACCATATTTAAAACGTAATAATCAATTTAATCTAGTTGCGTTGACTGTTGTACACAGAAGCAGCTCCGGGCAGATGACGTAGGATGACGGTGTTGCGCCGCTCAGAAGTGACGAACGCGGAAGCACAAGTCAAAACAAAACAACGGTCACGGATTAGAAGTACAAAACGAGGATTTGTAAAGAAGAATGTCGGAGGATTTCGATATAAGCCAAGAGGAGACTGGTTTTCCTTTGCTAAAGTAAGGAACCTTTGCTTCCTTTGCTCCTGTAAACAAACGCTGGTTTTCATGAGACTCATCGGCACATGCGCAGCGCCGACATCTTACGCCATCCTCACAGAGCTGCTTCTGTATACAACTGTTGGCGCAAGCTAGATTAAAGGGATTTTTACATTTTGAATATGGATATTTATCTTACAAAAACGCACCGATTCGCTACAGGAGGCCTTTGTTTACCCCCCACAGCCGTGTGAGGCCCTTTTTATTATGGATGGATGTGCTTTATTTCCCTTCTTTTGGACTGATGAACTGCAACACCCGCTGACTGCCATTAAACAGCTTGGAAGATCAAAGACAATTTTTAATATAATTTGTAATATTTGTTTTCCTTCTAATTACATTTTCCATATCCACCCAAAAAAAATCATTGTGCAGACACAATTACAAAATATATGGACTCCTTTTCCATTGAGCAAAAAAAATAAAATAAAAAAATCACTGGAATAATCAATATCCATATTTAATCTCTCTAACACACTTTTAACTGCATATACCATGTAACATTTTA